CCACCTCATAGTTCTCCTTTAATGTTTCTATGGATGAGCACACCAAATATTAGTTGGAAAATTGTATTTATTAGTCAGAAATATTATCCTCCGCCATTTTGCTTAGCACCATGCAGCTGAAGTGTTCGGTGAAGCTGCTGCAGGGAACTGACGTGCTGCAAAACAGCTACTCAGCGCTTGGCCAAGGAACTCAGATGAGCCCAAAAAACTGACAGCCGGACCGTCTGAAATGAAGAGGATGACTTTAGTCTCCCGCTACAGAGACGTTACATTGTATCTAAAGTCAAGAACAAAAATGTAACACATTGCAGCTTCCTGTTCCTTATATGTGGCGGCCGCATTAGTTTTCCATGTTCAGGCTTTTATTTCCTTTATTTGCTCCTGGTGATCCTGCCAGCAACTCACTTCCTGTCCTAGGGTGACAACGCTCACTCACTGTACTTCTTTATTTAAGCATCATGGTTGTCACCCTAGGCTGCTTTCCTGATTTGGACTACAAACAACCCCTGCTCTTTACTGCATAGAGTGAAGGTGCTTTGTAGTTCACAGATGATAACTGAGAAAAACACTGTTCAAAATGTCATTTTAGTGCACAGGAAGTGACAAGGTCGCTGGATTTCTGCTGGAATCAACAAGTGTTTTCTTTACTCGCAAAAAATGTTCGAAAACAAAAATGAATGCAGCCGCCACATCTAAAGACTGGGGAGGAGCTGAGATATGTGACATTTCTGTCCTTGGGCTGAGATCACTTTCTGGCAGTCCACATATTGACACTGCACAGTAGATATCTGTACAAAATGACTCAAAGCAACTGGACTTTCTGTATTTTCTTGAAGATGTTTTGCTGGTCATCTGACTAGCTTCTGATTTGAGAAAGCCAGTCGGATGACCAGCAAAACGTCTTCAAGAAAGATACAAGTCAAGTCCAGTTGATTTGATTTATTTTTTACAGATAGTCCATGAACTGGATGAGAGAGAAATGTGTACAGGAGATTTTGAATAGCTCAGTAGTGCTACAAACGTCCCTAGATATAAATCAATGGGAGCAACTGATGGAACACATGGCTCCCTATGGAGCGAGCTACACTACAGCATGCAGCAGCCTCATAGAGTCAGAGATTGGAGCCAGGGCCGGAATTCCCACAAAGCCAACCAAGGCCCGGCCTCAGGGCAGCAGACAGTAGAGGGGCATCAGGGGTGTGGAATTCCTATCCCCCGACGCTCGGGACATGCAGTTCCAGGTGCCGGGCGGGTAGTTGTTTTCTACATTTAGCCCTGCTTTGGGCAAGCAGAGTGCATTGAGGAACCTGGCCTTGGGGCAGCAGAGTAAATCCGGCCCTGGTTGGAGCATTGTGCAATAATGTGAGCCTGGCGCGGTCACCTATCGATCTTACTCCGCAAGGAACGCCCATTGCTTTAGTGCGTTGGGGTGCACCTCAAAGCCCAAAACGCATTTGTTACAGCAATGCAAAGACGCAAAGGGGCCCGTAACACGTTGCTGCAAATAATCGCAGTGAGTATCATGAGATGAGGAGAGCGTGCTGCTGCTACATGTGTAGCGTGTGTTGCGTGCTCCTTAGGGAGACATTTGTTCCGCCTCTTTAGCAATCAGTTGAATAATCGCTGCATTTCGGTAGCCCAACCGAGCTAGTAAACACCCCCACCCCCACCCCCCCATGTGTAGCCCAAGCCCACTGTCCTCCCTGTAACTTTCTGACCTCACATGCAGAGCCTGACTATTGTATTTCTACACATTGGTAACAATGTAACTCTTTATGAAGGACAAATAAAGGAATATCTTCCTACTGAGAGATTTAACCCCTCGCTGGCGATCACCACATTGGAGCTGCTCAGTCGTGCTGCTGAAATATTTGGCCATTGATCCCCAGAAGTAAAAACTGATCACTAAACAGATGGAACGCATGGCTCCCTATGGAGAAAGCTACACAGGCAGCATAGACAGGGCCGATTTTACTCTCTCTGCTGCCCCAAGGCCAGGTTCCTCAATGCGTCCCCCCTCCCCCCATGAAGAATGACAGACCTGCAGGCTGCATACAAGTGATCTCAGTGACATCACCGGGATCACTTGTACAAAACAAGCGGCGGCTTCCCCGCTCTACATTTACCTATGCTTGCCCAAAGCAGGGCTAAATGTAGAAAACTACCCGCCTGGCCCCCCGGAACTGCATGTCCCGGGCATCGGGAGATAGGAGTTCCACACCCCTGCTGCCCCACTACTCCCTGCTGCCCCACTACGCCCGGTTGGCCTTGTGGGAATTCCGGCCCTGCATGTAGTAGGGTCTCTTCTCGCCTATCAGTATGTTACCCCATGCCTGGTACTCTGTGTTATGCTGCGTGTTACTGTGTTAAGGCGGCCTGCGACCCTTTTTTCTGATGCAGCGCACCACGTCACATGATAGTGCATTACCGTCCATCGCAGTGTCTGTTGCCTTCAGGATGATGGTGCTGCAAGTCCTAACGCATGTTACCGCAATGCAAAGGTATGAAGGGGCCGGTAACATGTTGCAGCAAATAGCTGTGTTGAGTATTATGAGATGAGGAGAGGCTGCTGCTACTACCTGTGTAGCTGACTCCATAGGGAGCCATTCGTTTCATCTGTTTAGAGGCAGAGAAGACAAAAACTATGTCAAAGTTTTTTTTCCATTTAGTGGTGGACTACAAATATTTATAAATAGTTTTCTGAGCTTAGCTCCGTCTTCACATATTATAACAGAAGACAATATCTCCACTTTAGATTGTAAGCTCTCAGGACAGGGTCCTCCTTACCATCTTGTCTTGATTTGTACTCTAACTGTAATGTCTTCCTTATATTGTAAAGTGCTGTGCAAACTGTTGGTTGAATAATAATAATAATACATAACAATAATAAATAATAATAATAATAAAAAA